GGCTGCTCACTCACTCCCTGTAACTTAGAGCTACCAGTTTCCCTGCTAGAATAAGTAACCCTTTAAATAAGTCATTCTTCACTTTAGCAGCTATGTGTTCCTTTGAGAGTTTCTTCCCAGAAAACTTACATAAAGACCGCATGACCTCAATGTGACTGCAAGTTCGAGGGGACCCTGGAATCACAACTTCTCCTCCAGTGGAGCTGCAGAGCGCCCCTCTCTGTCTTTGTTTTTGTTCTTCAATTAGTAGGCTGTTCTTTTGCATGTGAATAGAAAAGTTAGTTTACCATAAGGAATGAAATATTTCCCCTGTTGATTTTTCCACAGTCCAGTGACATCTGCAGATAGCAGAAGTGGTGCCTCGTTTTTGTTTTGTTTCGCCTTTCCTTCTCAAATCTGTCTGTGAGCGCAGATAGAGAAACTAGGACAGCAAAACCAAGCAACATCTATAATAAAACCAGATGATGAAGTGTTCCCCAAATTAGCAAATGCCCAAGTCCCCAAAGCTTTTAACAGGCATCTGTGGTATCACAGCCACCCGAGAAGGTAGAGGGACAGGAGAAGGCCTTGAGTGCTGGAGACCTCAGACTTCCCGTCCGGTATATTTGGGAGCTTGCAGGGATGGTGAGAGAACGGCTAGAGGACCTCAGAGGTCCTCTTGGGAGTGAGCGCTGGGGGCCGCTGGACAGTCTGAGAGGACAAGGCCTGCGTCAGGAGAAACAAAAGGAGAGACAACCTAAATCTCAATTTCAAAATACTTTCATTACGCCTCCCCTCCAGAGAGAGAAGAAAACTAACTTCTCTTAAAATTGAGCAGGAGCCAAATCCATACAAATTTATTAGAGAGCATAAAGAGTAGAACAATGTCCCTCAGGGAAGTAAAGAGATAACCACACATAAAAAAGAGATAAAAACTAGGGCTTGGTATTTTTAAATTAGCATAGAGAGCATATGAAAATTATAGAAGGAAAAGTGATGTAAGTTAGGGTAAGAAAAACTATGCAGACAGTTATATGAAATATAAATAGGAAAATGTAAAGTGAAGCAATTCAAGAGAAAAAAATTTTTAAAAATTATTTTAGAAGCTTAAACTAAAGAAAGAATACAAGAGTGAATAAACAAAATGGCCAGTCCTTAAGTGAAATTGGAAATAGACAAGTACTGAAGAGAGGGATTTAGGAGGAAGGAATGTTTATGGACAGTGAGTACAGGTAATCCAATAGAGTTGTGATAATGAGCCTCTAAAGAAAGCCGAAGCAATGTAAAGCACAAATACAAACACTAGAGTTTAAGAAAACTTTTCTGAAACAAAAGTATTACTGCAATTACTGAAGGACAAGCTACCTTCTGGGAAGACTAACCCAGAATAGCCAGTGCTCAGACATTTTCCAATAAAGCTTTGCACTGTATAGTTAAAACAATCCTTTGGGCATCCGCATGAAATGGCTAAGCACTTTATAAGAGGAAGAAAATGCAGCTGGTAACAGATTGATCTGTGTTGTGCTAGAAGATAGTGAGGTAACAAGGGATTTTTACTGAGCTAAACTAACCATTAAATACAGAGACCACCAGCCACACTCTTAGCTAGGTCGTGTGAGGACTGGCAATATTGTTCAAATGAGAATTTCCTCAGGAATCTGTTACACAACCAAATGGGTTTCAGACCACCACAGTGATTGGAAAGACTCCTTCAGAACAAGAGTCAGCAAGCATTAAACATGTGTTTATATAATTAAGACTAAACAGCGTAGGAGAGAGACAATGTGACGTGCAGAGATAATGCCAACAGTGTCGGGGAGTCACCCACCTGCTCCGTCTCTAAATTCAGTCTCAGTGCAGTGGGAGTTCGGGATCTGCTGACTCAAGAAGCACAGGGTGGGCTTGGGCCTCAGCTCACACCAGACAGCTGAGCCAGGCTGGAGGGTTCCGGGGAGGCTTCAGGGGTTCTGGAGGGTACACAGGCTCCCCCAGACCCAGCTGGGGCCATCTGCACGCAGTGAGGAGACATACTGTGGTGATTAGGAAGCTTCAAATTTGAGCTGTCAGGGTATGTATGAACACACAGCTCTTGTAATTGCTCTTGGAGAATACTCCTGAATGAATTCATTGTTTTTAAAACTGGTAAATAAAGGACAAAAAACTGAGTGTTTTGTGTCTTATACATGAGCGTTCTTTAGACAGGAACAGTCTTTCTTGTATTGAAGTATTTTTGCTAATAAATGAGGACAGCTTACTACCAACAGCATATTGAGAATACATACCTCACCTCTGAAAGGTTTGCAAACAACGCAAAGCAAAACCCCTAATCTGATCAGGATATGAATTCTGACTACTTATTTAGAAAAAGGGAAGAAGTGTTTTAAATTATACCACAAGGATTCGCTCATTAAAAACTGAGCAACTGCAGAACAAATAACAAAAAATCTGTAGTCTAAAAAGGACTTAGACATAAAGGACTTAAACATATTAAACCAGTTTCAGTGTACGAATCTTACTTAGATTTTGGTTCAATCAGAGGGATAAAAGCAACATTTGAAGGAGTGGGAATACTACCTGGATATGTTTTTACCTTGGCGTTTAGTGATATTACAGAACTGTTGACTGTGTATGGGGGGGAGGTTCTAAGAGTAATTTTTCTCTTGTAAAGATGTGTTAAAATAGTTATAGCAAAATTACTCTTCACGGTTTGCCTGAAAATAACCTGGAGAAATGAGTGGAATGGTTTCAGTCATGAGTAGAGAGTTCTTGAGCTTGGTAAATGCGTGGAGTCCATTGTATTATTTTCTTTTAACTTTGTATAAGTTTTTAATTTTTTATTATGGAAAGATTAAGAACCTGGCTGCAACTGCTTCATTGAATGGCCCCAAACAAAAACCTCAGTGACATAACTAACTTATTATTTTCTTAGAATTAAGTTTAGCCCCCGTTTTTGTTGTTTTGTCTTTTGTTTTGTTTTGGAGTCAGTCAGGCTGGTCTTGAACTTACTATGTAGCCTGGTCTGTCCCGCAACTTTCAGCATTTTTTCTGCCTCAGCCTCCCAAGTGCTGGGATTACAGGTGTGTGCCACTACTCCTGGCTTGCTTTTTGTTATGGTTATTTTTTGTGCCTCTGTCTTTTCCTAATGAACTTTTTGTTTTGTATTAATTTTTTTGTTGTTGTTTTTTCTTTTTTTTTTTTTCCCTGTACCGGGAATTGAACTCACAACCTTGCGCTTCCCAGGCAGGTGCTGTGCTGCTGAGCTAAATCCCCAGCCCCTTTGTATTAATTTTGGATCTGCAGAAATATTGCAGAGATAGTGTGGAGAGTTCTACATACCCCTCACCCAATTTTTCCTATTATTAATGCTTTACATTACCATGCCACATTTGTAAAAGCTAAGAAACCAGCACTGGCACATTACTATTAATGAAATACCACATTTTATTTGGATTTCATTGGTTTTTCCATTACAGTCTTCTTTCTGTTTCAGGGTTGAGTCCAGAGTGCCACCTTCCATTTAATTATCATATCTCCCTCGCTGTCTCTGGTCTGTGTTGTTTTTTTCTTTTTTACCTCAGCAGTCTTGAGTGCTGGCCACATATCCTGTAGAATGCCTCCCTGTCTTGCTTTCTGTGATATTTTTCGCATAATTACATTGGGGTTATGTGTTGTGAGGAGGAAAACTCCCTACGTGAAGTACCCTTCTCATCGGATCACATCAGGGCGTACAAGCCAGTGACACGATTCCACTTGTGTGGATCTGCACTGCTTGGCTGAGGTAACACTTGCTGGATTTCTCCACTGTAAAGGGCAGCGTTTTCCCCTTTCCCTGGTCTGCTTTTTGGAAGCAAGTCACTGAGTCTAGCCCACTTTCATGTAGGGTAGGGAGGCTGGTTAAGTGCTACCTTTTGGAGCGGCATATATATGAGAGGGTCTCCAAGACCACTCCAGGTTGTCATTCACTAGGAAAACTTACAGACTCAGCATGTGGTTATCATGGCTGTACCTTATTATGACACAAAGATACAGAGCAAAATCAACAAAAGGTGCCTGGAAGCAGAGGCTTCCCAGAGTCTTCTCCCAGCGCTGTTACACAGGGTGCTCTTAATTCCCTGAGCAAGCAGTTGTAACAGCACGCGGAAAGTGAGCTGCCCGGGAGGCTTGCCTCAACCTAGGAGTCCAGGTTTCTCTTCAGGCCTCTTCTGCCCAGTGTGTACCTAAATTGCATACTCCCAAGAGGAAAGAGGTGCTCAGCGTTAACCACAGTATTTGCACCAACAGTTTCAGCACAGTGAGCCACTTTTACAGTTGATGGAAAGTTTTATTCCAGTGTAGGGAACTGTTTGCGGGTCCAGTGCCTAGCCCTCAGACAAGACCAGCCCTGCATGCCTTTCTAAGTCCACAGTCTCTAGCCTTCACTCTTCATTTTGTTCTGTTTAGGGAAGTATCTGTAGATCCTTGGGTGTGGGGACAGGGTTTTGCTGTATAGTCCAGACTGGCCTTGATCTCACTGTGTAGCTCAGGCTGCCCTCAAATTCACGGCAATCCTCCCGCCTCAGCCTCCTGAGTGCTGGAATTACAGGCGTGCACCACCACGCCTGGCGAGAAGTATCTATATATCATGACTTTTACCATTCATTTTTATTTTGAGAGGAAAAAGTGTGACCCATAACAGTGGAAGCAGCATAAGAACAACATAATGAAATTTAAAATTAGATCAAGGGTATCTGCTTTCTTTCTGGTGAAATATGGGGCAATCTGTCTCTTCTATTAATATTTCTTTTTCCAACTGTTAAACATTGTTATAAAAATATTACTCATTTTGCAACTTTTGGGGCACTTTATAATTTTAAAAATGCCTTGAGGTTGTGACCTCGTTGACTAGCAAACAATTAGAAGAAGGCCGTGTACATTTCAGTAGCAAGTGATATGAAAACCAAAACCTGGGTGGAAATGTCAGAAAATAATCACTGAGACTTTAACGATCCTGTACATACTAGACATTTACTTTCTTTGTGTAGGAAAAACGTGGTCTTCGGGAAATGAGAGTTCTTGAAAATTTGAAGAATATGATCCGTGAAACAAATGAGCACACTGTGCCCGAATGCAGAGACGCGATGGAGAGCAGCTTGAAGGACGTCCTCCAGAGACGTAAGCAGCGATTTCTGCTGTGTTGCTCTTGCTTGCAAATGAATGCTGTGCCAAAGTGGCTTTTTTCAGTATGATGATGGGAAATGCAGAGAGAAAATTTCTCATCAGGACCTAGGTGAGGAAATCCTAGGCACAGAGAAAGTGGCAGTCTTGTGGTGACTGTGTATTGCCATTGATGTCAGCAACATTAATCTCCGAGGCAGGATGTGTGTATCTACAGTTCACAGGACGGTCCTTGAGGGAGTGAGAAAAATCAAAATATTTTCACCTTTAAAAAAATTTTAGAAAGAAGGAAGGGAAATAAATAAATTGTGTGTGCGTGTGTGTGTGTGCGCGCTATCTACACACACACACAAGCTAGCTAAGATAATTGTACTACTAATTTCTGTTGGTTCATTGAAAGGAACAGTTAATGCCTCATTGTTTGATCAAGTTTGCATGCCTGTATCTGGTAATCTGAGCAACTACTTTGAAGATAACAATATGCAATATAACACCATTGCTAATTTCTTATCATCTTATTTTGAAATTTGGTATCATTTTTATTGTTTTATCATTTTTATTCTCTTTAAAATAAAAAGAAAAAAAAATCGTAAGAAAATGTTTGATGACCAGGAATTAGGAGAATTTATGAAAGGAAGCTTTTTTTCAAATAGACTACTTAGAGGTGTTAGCATTTTTCAAAAAAAAATCCTTTCATACATGTTTGTATTCTATCACTTTTTTCATTAAGCACAATATTTTAATACAGAGTGATAGTTGATGAAAAGAATGTTTATTAATATTCTTTAACATCAGTCCATAACATAAAAGAAGCATTATTGGCATAGCATTATTATAGGTCTTCTCAGATCTAGGTTGAGAACAGTTGCTTATCCCAGAAGGGATTCGCACTGGTAAATAATGATGGTTTCCAGAGAAGCAGCATGGGAAAGTATCTTGGAGACAGCAACAAAAACTGACCTGGAACAGGCTGGCCTGCGCAAGAAGGCAGAAGGGATGCCCGTGTTAACCGGGACGCTGACTTAGCCTTTGTGTGCAAGTCCACGTTTTGTCTGTGTACTCCAGTTGTAAAGGAGCTTGGGCGGCCTGAGTCTCCCAACATCATGTTTGGTTTCTTTGAGTGGAACAGCAAAAAGTCTAAAGTTGCCTTTAGGCTTTTGTACCTTTTTTTCACAAATATGCTCTCATTTGTTTCTACTGCCACATCCCTCACCCTGACAAACGTTGTAGACGCGGTGCTAAGAGGAAAGCGCCAGTTACTATCAACCAGAATGCTCAGGTGTGCATTTGAGGTGTGCCTGTAACTTCTTCTTTCCCATGCTTTGAGTATATAAAATTAAATTGAGTAAAACTGAACTGACTTCGTCCTTGGGCTAAATCTATATCTGATGTGAAGACTAGTTTCTTAAAAGTAAAGTCTTCCCGGGAAAATAGAAAAGTATGACTGGCAATTTGGAATCTAGACTGAAAGTGTTATCTTCTTGAATGAAGGAAAACATACAAGATGCAAAGTTAATAATTAGGGTTTCTGATTGACATCTGTGAAATACTTTGGATCTTATTGCTGGCGTTAGAAACCAGGCAGTGGTTTTTGGATATTCTTGGAACAGGAAAAGCTTATTCTGTAGAGATCTACTATAAGAACGTTGTTGTACTTCTTATGCTGAGGGTCACAGTATAACAGAAGTAATTACCTGCCTCTAAAGCTGGTGTTGTTTTAAAAATTAGCCTGAGCCCAGTGCTCTTTCCTAACAAGTTTCTATCTTTAAAAATTTGACATTTTAAATCATGTGTATTTTCACTGATCAATCTGGATATTTTCTGATCTAAGCGTATATCCCTGCAGGACCCATGATGAGTTTGTGTTGTGCCTGTTGCAGAACCAGCACGCTTACCTCTCGCATACCTGCGTGCAGCAGTACCGCAGGCTCAGTCACTGTGCCCCTCAGAACCCTGCAGAAGTGGGCCTTCTTCCACCCGTCTGGCCCAGTGCACAGAACCACTGACTGTAGAGCAGGAGGAAGTGGGCCCTCCAGGCTGGTCCCAGTGGATCCTCACGACAGGATCCTTAGCTCAGCACCCCTGTTGCTTTGGCCACAGAGCCGCCACTGTGCTGTGTGCAGGGACTGGAGGAGCAGAGGCCTTAGAGCCCAAACTCACCACAAAAAGTAAATGAGGGTCCGAGAAAGCAACCCGGAGGCAGCTTGTCATCAAGATGCAGCCTTGCATTGTTCCCTTTATGAAGACACATGGTGCCTGAGCTCCACTTAGTGATTATTTAATGGGCTTGTATCAGATTTGGGGTCAGGAGATGTGGGCTTGGTGTGGAGGGCCCTGGCAGTTTGAGTTGGGAGGACAAAGAGGCGCTGGGTTGTGCCTCCTTCGAATGACCTTTCATGGCCACGGTGAGAGAAGATTCTGTCCCCCTCGCTTTCTCTCTTTTTAAACCCAACAGTTTTGTTTTCTTTCTACTTAAAAATAAAAGAATATTCTTTGAAGTAGTAAGAAAAAGAAGTAAAGAAAGTAAAGTTTTGGGGCTGGGGATTTAGCTCAGCGGCAAAAGCGCCTGCCTGGCAAGCGCAAGGTCGTGAGTTCGGTCCCCGGTACCGGAGAAAAACCAAAAA